TTTAATCTGCTTCCTGTGCACGTGGCTCAACACTTCCTGCTGTCCAACCCCAGAAACATGGTGAGATCCTCCGAGCATCAGGTGTGCTGCAACATCACCAGTTACTCACACTCACACTGCTGTAACACACACACTCCTCACACTGACACACATCATTCACTGGATTCACCACACTAGTGTAAGGTCAGGGGGTGCACATCACTGATATACGGGCTGCATTTAAACTAAGAAATGAAGTTGAACATCACTCAGTGTTTACATCCAGCCCATATCAGTCGTTTACCACCCCTGACCTTACACTAATGAAGAAAATCCAACCAATGATGTTTCTCAGTGCAGGAGCCATTCTTTAGTGGAGATGTACACTCACTGGCCACTTTATTAGGTACACCGTACTAGTACCGGGTTGGACCCCTTTAGCCTTCAGGTCTGCCTTAATCCTTCATGTCAGAGATTCAACAAGCTACTGGAAATATTCTTCAGAGATTTTGCTCCATATTGTCATGATAGCATCACACAGTTGCTGCAGATTTGTCGGCTGCACATCCATGATGCCAATCTCCCGTTCCACCACATCCCAAAGCTGCTCTATTGGATTGAGCTCTGGTGACCGTGGAGGCCATTTGAGTACAGTGAACTCATCGTCATGTTCACCAGTCTGAGATGATTGAGCTTTATGACATGCTGCGTTATCCTGCTGGAAGTAGCCATCAGAAGATGGAGACACTGTGCTCATAAAGGGATGGACATGGTCAGCAGCAATACTCAGGTAGGCTGTGGCGTTGATGCTCAATTGGTACTAATGGACCCAAAGAAAATCTCCCCCACACCATTACACCACCACCACCAGCCTGAACCGCTGATACAAGGCAGGATGATCCATGCTTTCATGTTGTCTGAGTCGAGCATCTGAATGTGTCAGCAGAAATGGAGACTCATCAGAGCAGCAACGTTTCTCCAATCTTCTATTGTCCAGTTTTGGTGAGTCTGTGTGAATTGTAGCCTCAGTTTCCTGTTCTTAGCTGACAGGAGCGGCACCCGGTGTGCTCTTCTGCTGCTGTAGCCCATCCGCCTCAAGGTTGGACGTGTTGTGTGTTCAGAGATGCTCTTCTGCAGAGCTCGGTTGTAACGAGTGCTTATTTGAGTTACTGTTGCTGGAACCAGTCTGGCCATTCTCCTCTGGCCTCATCAACAAGGCATTTGCGCACACAGAACTGCCGCTCACTGGATATTTCCTCTTTGTCAGAGCATTCTCTGTAAAGCCTAGAGATGGTTGTGCGTGAAAATCCCAGTAGATCAGCAGTTTCTGAAATACTCAGAGCAGCCCATCTGGCAGCAACAACCATGCCACGATCAAAGTCTCTTAAATCCTCTATGTGGACAGGTGTACCTATTAAAGTGGCCAGTGTGTATATAATGCTATGAATATTGCGAATACAGTGAGCAGAATGTCTTCATTAAAATGACCTGCTCAACAACAAATGTCACCACATTGTTTCTGAACATGCACATTTTGTGGCAAACAGCATGTATTCTGCATTTTCAGATTTGTTTAATCGAGTTATGTTTGTTTAAATCATTTACTCAGTGTGTTTTATAGGTTATAGATTTCATTGTGTTATTCGAGGTGTTGCTTGTTAAACCTGCATGTTTAAAATGAGATGTCAGGGATCCATGTTCACTTTGCTGTCTAAAAGCATTGTGATGAGAAATCTAACTGTGATATTCCTGACTGATTTAATAACAGTTTAATTCAGTGAGTGTCCTCAGGAGTGTGCAGTTCACTCTCTAAATCAAGGCTAATTCAACACACTTCAGCTCAATAAACAGATATATATTTCACCTGTCTCTATAAACCGGCATTGGAGCTTATTCAGATGCACTAATCGCCAAGTTACAGAATTTTCCGTGAGTTTTCAAAACTGCAATTATCACTCACGGATTTGACGATAACGACATTCATTCATTCATTCATTCATTCATTTTCCTTCGGCTTATTACCTTATTAATCAGGGGTCGCCACAGTTGAATGAACCGCTAACTATTTCAGCATATGTTTTACACAGTGGATGCCCTTCCAGCTGCAACACAGTACTAGGAAACACCCATACACACTTATTCACACACACACACACACACTCATACACTACGGCCAGTGTAGTTGATCAGTTCCCCTATAGCGCATGTGTTTGGACTGTGGAGCACCCGGAGTGACCCAGCCAGGACTCGAACCAGCGACTTTCATTCTTTTAGGACTCAATGCAACACCACTGAGCCACCGTGCTACCTGATAAGGACACTGAAATGCTAATACTAACCATCGGAAAAGATACCTTGGTTTAGCTTGAATCTAGTACTGGTGACAGCACTATAGTACTGGTGTAGATCTGTAGTGCTGTGTGGGTGTTTCCCTTCAGCACTGCGTTTAAAAGGACGACTCTCGATCGCAGTGAATGCGCTTTTTATGATGAGAGGTGCCTTTTTTATACAACAATAGCAAGCGTGCAGGATACGCCGCTGATTCAGGGCTGGGATCTACCTCCTATTCTGAGTCTTGTTTGCGACAGATGTTTTACTCTGCCTGCACCACGTTTGTACCACAGTGTTGTGTGTGACTGATCTGATCCTCCGCTTCTGTCTCTGCAGGATCTGTACTATCAGTCGTATGCTCAGGTCGGGGTTCTGTTCGCATCCATTCCCAACTTCAACGACTTCTACATCGAGCTGGACGGAAACAACATGGGCGTGGAGTGTCTGCGGCTGCTCAATGAGATCATCGCTGACTTCGACGAGGTCTGAACACCCCTGGCCATCCTCACACACCTGTTCACATGCACATGATGGAGAATCAGCTTAAATCAGTAAAACAGCTCAATGGGGACATCAGGATGTGCATACGTTTTGAAAATCGTGGGCTGATATTTTCTGTGATGCTCCAGTTTGATGTGCATCTTTGCAGTGACGCACAGCTCCTGTAGTTAACCTCTCGCTTGTCTCCCTCCTCTGTCTCAGCTGATGGATAAAGAGTGTTATAAAGACATCGAGAAGATCAAGACCATCGGCAGCACCTACATGTCAGCGGTGGGGTTGGTGCCCACCATTGGAACCAAGGTCACCAAATCCTGCTGTTATAAAATGACGTGAACACACCGGCAGAGCCTTTATAAACATGATCATTCATTCATTCACAGGCCAAGAAATCCACGGCCACTCACCTGAGCACCATAGCAGACTTCGCCATCGAGATGTTCGACGTTCTGGATGAAATCAACTATCAGTCTTACAATGACTTTGTGCTGAGAGTGGGTGAGTCTGGAGACACCTGCACCACTGAGCTCAGCACAGAGGAAAACAGACAGAAGAAAGAGATGATTACGAGAACATGCACACAGCACACAGAGTTTCACTTACTTCTCTCATTTACTGTGTTAAAACAAACTTTGGATAAAATATATATCGACTTAAATATTCAAATATTACATAAATATAATATAATATAATATAATATAATATAATATAATATAATATAATATAATATAATATAATATAATATAATATAATAACAGGCCAAGAAGGTCTCTGGTTCAAGTCTCAGCTGGGTCTCAGCATGTTCTCCCCGTGTTGGTGTGGGTTTCCTCCGGGTGCTCCGGTTTCCCCCACAGTCCAAACACATGCGCTATAGGGGAACTGATCAACTACACTGGCCGTAGTGTATGAGTGTGTGTTTGTGTGTGAATGAGTGTGTATGGGTGTTTCCCAGTACAGGGTTGCAGCTGGAAGGACATCCACCGTGTAAAACATATGCTGGAATAGTTGATTCATTCCACTGTGGTGACCCCTTATAAATAAAGGGACAAAGCCGAAGGAAAATGAATGAATGAGTGAATATATTAACCAAAGATATAAACATTAAAATATAATAAACGCGATATATTTAATTTCTAATAGTCGGAAAGAATATACTTCACATTTTCCATTTAGTTAAAATAACTTTTTTTGACAAAAAAAAAGCTAATAATTTGAAAATTACTTTTTTTGCTTAATTTTATAACTACAAAATGTTTAAGTCAAATCTATTAGCCTTTTTCTGTATTGTGTTTTTAATTTCTAATTTAAATCATTGATGAATGACTGCTCGTTGACATTATAACTAACACCAATATGAAATACAGTGAAATATCAGTAGACAACAGCAGTGAAATAAGGGAATCTGCCAAATGCAGAAATGTAATTTAATAATCCCCGACAGGATGCTAAAAATGATGCAGACTAAAGTGGAGAATTATTGAGTTTAGACGATGTTAACGGAGTAATTCAGCCAAATATCACAGTCTGCTCACTGATTACTCTCCCTCAAGTGGGTTCAAACCATCACTAAAGAAGATATCTTGAAGAATGCTGAAAACAACATTGACTTTCATATCATATATCATAGAAGTCAAGGGTGATCATCTTGAGCGGTCTTCAAAATATCTTCCTCCTTGTTCAACAGAAGTCAGGTTTGGAAGCAGTGAGGGGTCAGTAAAGGAGGATTTGTAGTTTGTTTGGTTCGTTTACCTGTCCCTTGAGGGTGTTTAGTGAGTTTTGTTTGTGAATCCTCAGGTATTAATGTGGGTCCAGTGGTGGCAGGTGTGATCGGGGCTCGCCGGCCGCAGTACGACATCTGGGGGAACACAGTGAACGTGGCCAGCCGGATGGACAGCACAGGTGTGCCTGGAAAAATACAGGTGATCATGTCGACATTTACACTTTACCAGCCTTTAAAGTCTGCATCAACCGTAGGCTGAGACTGTTTCTTTTACATATCGCGAACATTTCCTAGAGAAACAGAATATTAAATGAGAAAACAGTGGGCGTGGCTTGTTTTTCCACTGCGAGCTGATTGGATGTAGTGAAGTAGGCGTTTCATTCAGAAAGATGGGAGAGTTATTAAAGCATAATAGACTCCTCCTCCTCACCATTTTTGGTCAGTGTCATAGCGATGACAGCTGGAGGGGCGTGGTAAAGTATGTTAGCCACACCCACTACCTCAGACTGAAGACAGAATGAAATGAAAACCAACAGGAAGTGCATCTTCAGATCTCAATTAAAGATTACTAGAGCTGCTCTTCATGACATGCACAGATGAACTGATCACCACAAACTGGCATATGTGTAATGTTGCAGGTGACAGAGGACGTGTACCGTCTGCTCCAGAACAACTATGACCTGATGTGTCGTGGCAATGTCAGTGTAAAGGGCAAAGGTCAGATGCTCACCTACTTCCTGGAGGGAAAAGCGCAGGATCCGGGGATCCGAGCGCCGCACCACACGGGCGGGCTGGAGCGCAGGGTTCATGCCATCGCCCGCACCAGCAGCACGCAGACCAAAGCCGGCAGCGTCTCCTCTGCAACATCCGGCCTGGCGGTGAGAGTCGGCCTGAGCAGCAGTTTCCACGGACCCCACGGACACAGCAACACCACCAATGTGCCTACAGTAGGGGAAGAGGAGGAGACCAAAGAGCAGGAGGTGTAGGGCGGATCGAGCACTGCGAAGACATGCTGGCGCAATTAAACGAGGCATGAGGACAAGGATTAATCGAGAGAAGTACTACAATTAATCAAGAAACTAATGCATTTATCAAGGGCATGAGTACATTTCTTTGAGACATGAGCTCAGTGATTAATCGAGACATGAGTATGATGATTAATCCAGAGGAGTACCACAATTAATCGAGATAAGTGTTATTATTAATCAAGAAACTGGTGGATTTATCAAGACATGATTGCATTTAGCTGAGGCATGAGTACAGTGATTAATCGAGACGATTAATCGAGAGGATTACTAAGATTAATAGATAAAGGTGTTATGAGTAATCAAGAAACTTGTGCAATTATCAAGACATGAGTACAGCAATTAATTAAGACATGACTATGGCAATTAACCGAGACATTAATATGACGATTAATCGAGAGGATCACTAGAATCAATCAAGATAAGTGTTACGATTAATTAAGAAACTAGCGCATTTATCAAGACATGTTTACATTTGACCAAGAGATGAGTACAGCGATTAATTAAGACATGAGCACAGTGATTAATCGAGACATGAGTATGATGATTAATCGAGATGAGTACTCAGATTAATCGAGATGAGTGTTTCGATTAATCAAGAAACAAATCCAGTTATGGAGACATGTGTAAATTTGGTGAAGACATGAGCACAGCGATTAATCGAGACAAATGTACAGTGGTTTATCAAGACCAGCGTACAATTGGCCGAGACATGAGTGTGATGCTTAATCGAGATGCAAGTACAGCGATTTATCAAGACATGAACGCAGCAATTAATCAGACACAGGTGCATCAATTATTCGAGACATGAGTACAATTAATCAGGAATCAGGTATGATTACTGAGTACACTTGAGCACACAAGTAATCAAGACATGAGTACAAATAACTTGGACATGAGGCCAGTGATTAATCGAGCCACATGCATGAATAATCAACACATGAGTACAATGAATAATTGAGACACGAGTACAGACTTTTATTAAGACGAATACACTTAAGTGAGGGATGAATATAATTGAGATAAATGCACAATTGATCGAGACAAAAGTCTGATTAATCAAGACATGAGCGATTTATTGAGATGAGTACAACATGTAAATGAGAGCTGAGTACAGTAAGACATGAGTACAACATTTAATTGATAAATCTTTACATGTGCGGAGTGATGAATCAGGACATGAGTACATTGGCTAATTGAAGAAGCAAGTACAGCCAGTTAATTGAGACAGGAGCACAGCGATTAATCAATCCAGATATGAGTGTGGAGATTAAAGCCTCAAATAATTGTTAGCAATCATATAAAAATGCAAACGTTCTGCCAATGTTTGCCTAAGGTTGCAAACAAGCGCTCTTCCAGTAATCTTAATAGAATGTTCAATCACAGTTATCAGGTCTGGAACAGTTACTGGCACAGAAACATTCTTATAAACATTGATCTGTTGCATTCAGTTTACATTTATTCATCCATTTTATAATAATATTCAGAGAACATTTAAAACAGCACTCCCATTATGGCCAATTTATAAAATCGAATGTGTCACTGCTAGGAAAAAATATATATGAAGTTAAATCCTGGACTTTCCTAATATCATTCTGGACTCACTCAGAACATTCACAGAACACATGTTCGCTGTCTGGGAAGCTGTCATTTGTCATATTTTGCCATCATCTGCTATGAGCTGTACATATAGATATTATTATGAGCAGAGTGTGTGTATTTTTGGTATTGAACTCTCCAGTGCATTGAAATGAATGTGTTTTGATTTTCCTATATAGAACGGCAATAGTACAAAGACACACTCTGCATCCAGACAAATAATGCACTGAACCATGACTCGTCTCCTCACACTCTCCATCATGTCATGACTCTAAAGATTTCCATCCTGATGACACATGTATAGCTGCACTTTGACAATAATAATACAATAATAATCAAGTTATGTGATGCTTCCGAAGCCTTACATCAGGATAGCTTATATACAAATAGCTGTTTAAAGCAGTGTGTGTGTGTGTGTGTGTGTGTGTGTGTGTGTGTGTGTGTGTGTGTGTGTAGACATCAGGGAGTTTAATACAGCCTAAAGAGAGCTTCATCATCACACTGACTGACTGTTCTAGCTATAAACTACAAGCTGACGTTCATCTATACCAGTGTTTCTTAACCATGTTCCTGGAAGAGCACCAGCCCGGCACATTATCCATGTCTCCTTCACCAAACACACCTGCTTCAGATCATCAGCTCATTAGGAGAGGCTGAGAGACCTGTGATGGGTGTGACAACCAAAGGAGACATTTAAAACATGCAGTGCTGGTTCTCCTCTAGGAACGTGGTTGAGAAACACTGATGTGTACGGTGGGGTCTGAAAGACACTGAAATTACATATTGCAGTGACCCAAACCTGATGGTGATGTTTAAAATAATGCACGATCTGAAAATATGAGTCATGTGACCAGAGACACTCATTTATTCTGTTGGCTTGAGAATGATCTACTGATCTGTTATATAAACGTCATCTTCTTTTAAAATGTATCTCCTCCTAGAGCATTCAAGCTATATCCACTAAACTCATGTCAGACCTTCACACTATTCTGACTCATGCGTATATGTCTTTTTGTACTGATCTGACCTATAGTTTTTCAAAAAATCATCTCGGAAATTTCGGAAAAGTCCCATTGGTTTAACATTGGACCATATTTTGTGTCCTCATAATTTTGCATCATTTGACTGTTGTACAAAAATGCGGCTGGGCTCATTTAACCCAGTCCACCGAGCTGCCAAAAAATGCTGATCTTTCCACTTTCTTGCCACAACCTAGCAACGAGATGTAGCACCCTAGCAACTGCCCCATTGACTTCCATTGTAAAAGCGGATATGGCTATCTCCACATCAGAACACTCTAGAGAAATGAAGATAGGCTGATTGCATTTAATCTGACAATAACCTTTTAAATATCAATCAACAACAATCTGGTCACACCATAGCAACCATTTACCCCACCCTAGCAACCCAAACCTAAAAAGTATATCTTAGAATATGAACATCATACAGACACTGGGTTTGCTTTGTCATTCATACTGGCAGGCTGCCATAGGAGAAACATGACTGTAGGCTTCCAAGCCACTCCTTAGCAACAAAACAGTCTACCCTAGCAACCGTTTAACAAGCCCTATATTTCTGCATCAGAACATTAAAGATATGGGATTTGGCTCTGATAAAAACAGAACTTGCCACACATGCTAACTGTGATTGGCTAAGTGTAACAAATGCTAACAACATGCTAGTGACATGCTAATCATGTAAGCATGCAGTGACCAATCAGATCACACTAGCAGCAACTGAATAGCAACCAGTCAAAGTACCCTAGTAAAGCTTAGCAACATCCGAGCCCCTTAGATTACTATAGAAGCTGCTTCAAACCTCAAGCTTTTAGAGTTAATACAAACATTCAAGCTAGGGTTTCTCAAGCCAACAATAAAGTCTGTCCTCATCCAGTTTACTAGTCCAGATTGGCCAAATAGCATAGCTTCTGTCTGTAAATGATCTGTATATCATGCTCAGACCCTGCTGTATGCATGTAGTGATGTAGTGTGTCATTAGCAGAGATGAACTCAGTTAAGGATATGTGCCAATTATATCTGACGTGTAGTGATTGGACATGATTCTGTCATCAACAGTCGCTGTAATAATAATAATAATAATAATAATAATATTAATCTGTGACTGTCGGAGGACTGAAACTGTCAGATGCCGGTTGTGTACAGTGTGTGTGTGTGTGTGTGTGTATGAGAGCTGACAGACTGACGGAGGACTGAGGGATGTGTGTTACTGGGGCTTCACCTGTGTTTGATGTTAATGAGGTCAGTAAAGGGAACGGCAGGGTACAGCAACCCACTGCTGACACTGAAGTCAGTGACCTGGGAGGCGGGAATGCTGTGTCACACACACAAACACACACCATATAGATCTCTGGTGTGTGTTTACAAGCACAAAACATTCTGTATGCCTCATTTCTGAGCCGGTTTAGGAGTCACAATGAAGGAACAACAGGTCAGTTTCTCTGCTGATGTTCTGCATCATGCCGCTTCTCTTCAGGGTGTGGGTCCGTCGCTCTCTCTAATGCAGATCTGTCCGGACAGTATTCTTGCCTTATTTGACATGCTTGCGGTGGTTGAAGTCGTTTGCCTTTTAGCTCTTTGATAAACAGAGGTGTATTTTGTAAATACAGCAGTGTTTGATATGCTGATCTTTGTACAGTGACAACTCCAGCAATATGAGGTTTTATAATAAAGAGAGTATTGAAGAACAGCGGCTCCGAGCGTCTGTGTTTACACGCATTCACTTTCCTTCAGCTCTATTTCAGGGCTCGCCACAGCGGAATGAACCGCCAACTATTCCAGCATGTGTTTTACACAGCGGATGCCCTTCCAGCTGCAACCCAGTTCTAGGAAACACCCATACACACTCATTCACACACACACACACACACACACACACACACTCATACACTACGGCCAGTGTAGTTGATCAGTTCCCCTATAGCATATGTGTTTAGAGCACCCGGATGAAACCCACGCCAACACAGGGAGAACATGCAAACTCCACACAGAAACACCAACTGACCCAGCCGAGACTCAAACCAGAGACCTTCTTGCTGTGAGGCCACAGTGCTAACCACTGAGCCACCGTGCCGCCCCTTTATATGCCCTGTTTCTGATAATGAGTACTACATACACTACAGTGTCTGCAAGTGCTGATTATACTGATTATATCTATATATGTTATGTGTGCTGACTCTGTTTAATATGATCATATGTTTTGCATTTATTAACAGCTCATGTATTATTAATATAACATCACATCATGAATAATGAATATCACTTTCCTGCATTGGTAGCATATAATATAATTGACCAGCAATTCATGATAGAAAAGCACAGTTATACACATTGTTGAGATGTGGCACGTTGCTATTAAACATCACACCAAATATGTCAACAGATGGAGGAAGCAAAGCAAACGAGATTTGAGCTCAGTCTGCAGAGCGGTGTATTGGCTCCTCTGTAGATGTTTGATTCCTCCAGGCCTGCGAGGGCAGTGTTTCCTCAGTCAGGAGAGAGTGTATCTGATGAGGTCCACAGGTGAGCTCTGGAGAGACGTGTGTGTCTGCAGCAGGTGAGCTGTGTAGTGTACTGGATGATGCCTGATGAAGCCGTGTTGATGTGAATAAGCTGGTTAGTGGCTGTTCCAGTCAGCAGGAGAATGTTCAGTTATATTCAGTGTTTATTATGGACGTTTGTTTCTGCCATCATGGCGACAGCAATGCTTTACTGCCGAGGTTCAGCTCACTGCCTGCATTTGCAACTCCTCACAATATTAAAATGTTTAGCCAGACGCAAGTTCATGTCTCACAATTTTGAGAAAGCAGTCAGCATGTTCAGGATTGCAGTATATCATTCTGAGAGCTCTCAGAGACGTCATTATGATTCTCATTATATTATATGCAGATTTGGGACTTCATATCGCACACTTCCAGCTCTGAATAATGTCTTGCAATTCTGGGCAGCAAGGTGGAGCAGTGGTCAGCACTGTTGCCTCACAGCAAGAAGGTCGCTGGTTCGAGTGTCGGCTGGGTCAGTTGGTGTTTCTGTGTGGAGTTTGCATGGTCTCCCCGTGTTGGCGTGGGTTTCCTCCGGGTGCTCCGGTTTCCCAAACACATGCGCTATAGGGGAACTGATCAACTACACTGGCTGTAGTGTATGTGTGTGTGTGTGTGAGAATGAGTATGTATGGGTGTTTCCCAGTACTGGGTTGCAGCTGGAAGGGCATCCGCTGTGTAAAACATATGCTGGAATAGTTGATGGTTCATTCCACTGTGGTGACCCCTGATGAATGGGGACTAAGCTGAAGGAGAATGAGTGAATGAGTGAATGAGTGAATGAGTTCTGCAATGCTAGTTTCCTCAGATTAGTGAGATGTAAGTTCACAGTGGCTAGTCTATCTCCTTGTCCCTCCTGTTGTCTGTGATTCTGTGCACAGTGTTCACCCTTCAGGTCAGACATGATCCACCTTCACTAAAGCTCTAACATAAAGCAGACTCCTCAGATCTATTCAGATGAAGAAACAAGCTGATCCTCATCACAATCTCCGCGAGTGTTCGGGTGTTCCCTCATCAGTGTTCCCTCAGTAGACAACACTATACTCTCACTACAGTAGGATTTATCATGATGAAAGCGTTCATAACAGATAAAGCAGCAGATTATTATTGTGTGAGTTTGAGGTGTACAGTCTTTATTAAAATAATATAGTGATATACAGAACATGACTGAAACAACCCAAATCTCCCATATTGCTCATATATATATCAAAATTATTCTCACAAATTAAATTTTTCTTCATTAAATATTTCCCAGATGATGTTGAACAGATTGAGGAAATGTTCACAGTGTGTCTGATAATATTTTTTGTTCTAGTGAAAGACTGATTTGTTTTATTTCGGCTAGAATAAAAGCTGTTATTAATGTTTTAAACACCATTTAAGCTCAATATTATTAACCCCTTTAAGCTTTATTTGTTTTCTATAGTCTCCAGAACAAACCACTGTTATACAATGACTTGCCTAATTACCCTAACTTTACCCTAATTACCCTAGTGAAGCCTTTACATGTCACTTTAAGCTGTATAGAAGTGTCTTGAAGAATATCTAGTCTAATATTATTTACTGTCATCATGACAAAGAGGAAATAAATCAGTGATTAGAGATGAGTTATTAACACTGTTATGATTAGAGATGTGCTGGAGAAATCTGCTCTCTGATACACAGAAACTGGGGAAAATATACAGGGGGTGAATAACTCTGACTTCAGCTGTATATAGTTTTGTCTTCATCCAGAAGTTCTTCTAGAGCTGAGCATGACCTCCATCAGTTCCCTGCACACCATCTCAGAGCAGCTGGAGCCGGACCCGTCTTCAGACATGGAGAAATCTGTAGATCTGGAAGAGTTCCTGGAGACGGACGAATCTGTGGATCCAGATGTGCTGGTGGAGACGGACGAACCTCTGGAGTTTGATTCTGAAGATCAGGGAGACCGCCAGAGCAAAAAAACGAGGAGATCCACCCTCAGAACCATCCAGACATGGCAGACCTACAGACCCAGGACACGAGACTCAAAGAGGAGCTCATCATCGGCCCGAGCGTCACGATCACTGCTGCAGACCTACAGTAAGGTGAGTCACAGGTCTGAAAGACAGCATGCCGGACCCTCACCATCAGATCTACTGTGCTGATGAGTGCAGAGTTTGAACATGACGCAGGCGACTGAACCTGCCGGAGGACTCAGGAGTGTTTTGATGTAAGTCTGAAGTGTGTGTGTGTGTGTGTGTGTGTGTGTGTGTGTGTGTGTGTGTGTGTGTGTGTGTGTGTGTGTGTGTGTGTGTGTGTGTGTGTGTGTGTGTGTGTGCAGGTGGATCTTCCGCAGTGGCTGATCAATGTGATGTGGGACATCGAGGAGGCCACAACACACACGCTCACTGTCGAATGAGACAAACACACACACATAAACACACACACACACATCTGAGCTCCGCATTGGTGTTTTCTTTGGGTGTTTCTCTCACTGTCTGTGGTCATGATGAAGGCTGACGTTTCCTCTCCTCCTCCAGTCTGTTTTCTTTCTTCTTGCTCAATCTTTGGATGAAACTTGTGTGGGTGGGATGTAAATGATTTGCTCGTGGTGTGTGTGTGGGTGTGTGTGTGTGTTTGTGTATAGGCAAGCCTACAGTCATCCTACAGGACATGAGTTGTGAATCTTGTGTGAATACCACTGGAGTCATGGCCCCTAATGAGGGCTCGACTGCTGCACTAGTAGCTAGACTCCTCTTCAGAAGTGTAGCGTCCTCAATCAGGCTTGACCGTCTGGTTGACCTCAGCCCTTGGTGATAAGCCGAATGCTGCAGAGGTGTGCTAATACTACACCAGGAACGCTTCATTACTGCGGCGCCTCTTGAAAAACATGTTGTGATTGCGGAAGGCCTCGCAGTGACCCGTCCTGTTATGCAACACCCGCGTGACCTTGTTTTTGTGACCCAACTCCAAGTGCAGTCCAAAACACAAGTGTTGAAATGAGTCCCACACTACTGTAGTGGACAGTGTTTAGGTTATAGCCCACAGCAAACGTCACGCTCCTGTTGTTGAGGAACGGCTCATACACGGAGTGAATCCCGGAGGAATCCTGCAGCACGCTCCGTTCTAGAGTCAACATTGACGTGTGTGCAGTCAGAGTGAAGCTGTGAAAACAGCGTCTTAATGCAGATGTGGAGTGTGTGAATGATTAACCGCGCTGAGGTCATCCTGTCAGAGCATATAAAGCCAGCGCAGGGCCAGCGAGGGCCAGATCTGACACACAGCGGCAGATAACTCCAGATATTCAGCTCTCCAGCTCCTGTTCTTCTGCTATGCGAGCGGTGTGTGTGTGTGTGTTGTTGGTGTGTGTGCTGGTGTGTGTGTTGGATGCGTCTCCTGTGCCAGCTCCTGAACCCATCCGCTGTGCCCCGTGCTCTGCGGATCAGCTGTCGGCGTGTCCTGCCGTGTCCCCCGGCTGTGCTGAGGTGGTCCGGGATCCGGGCTGCGGCTGCTGTTCCTCCTGCGCCCTGCGGAGCGGCGACTCCTGCGGCGTCCACACGGCAAACTGCGGCGCCGGCCTGCGCTGCGTCCCGAGAGCTGGAGACCCGCGCCCGCTGCACTCGCTGACCCGCGGGCACGCCGTCTGTGTGGAGCACCACCCTACTGAAGGTACACTTCTCTAAGTATTATTCTTTATTCAAACACAAGATCAACACACACACACACACACACACACACACACACACACACACACACACACACACACTAAAGACACATTAAAGACACACTAAAGACAATCGAAAAATAAAATACAACCCCAAAAACAGCTGTATTAGTGAAGTGTTTACCACGCTGTAATGTTGCTGTTCTTTTTCACAACACTTAAAGACAATTGGGGACTGAGGACAGCAAGTGCTGAAGTGTTCAGGGGTCCTTCTGCCCCATTCCTTCTGAAAACAAGTCTTAAGGTGGCCAACAGTACGGGGTCTTCACTGTTGCATTCAGTGCTTCAAAATGCCACACATTCTCTATTGGAGACAGGTCAGGATTGCAGGCAGGCCAGTCCAGCGTCTGTCTCCTCTTCCTCAGCAAGCAGGACTATGTAATGTGAGCTGGATGTGGTTCTGCATTGTCTTGTTGAACTCCGGGCTTCTGGACGTGTTGCTGGTGTCAGTCTGGAGGATCCTCTTCTTCTTTTTTTTCTCCAAAAACACCTGAAACACTGCTTCATCTGAGCACACACACGTCTCCACTGTCCTCCGAGCCCAGAGAAGTGGACGGCGCTTCTGGACACTGTTAACATAGGGCTTCCTCTTGGCACAGTGCAGTGTTGGCTGGTGTTTGTGGATGTGACTCTGTATTGTGCTGCTTGTCACAGGTTTAGCGCAGTAGTGCTGAGCTCATGTGCTGATCTGCTTATAGATGAATGAGGACTCTTGATGCAGCGCCCCCTGAGGGTTCGGAGGTCACGGTTGTTCAGCTTAGGCTTGCGCTCTTGTCCTTTACGCACTGAAACTCCTTCAGACTCCTTCAGTCTTTAATGATGTTCTGCACTGCTGAAGGTGAAATATCCATACAAGTTAATTTAGAGATCACTACTTTTTTATTTGCATTTTATATACTGTGCCAACTTTTTTTCTGATTTGGGGTTGTAGAACAACATAAAAGAATGTAATTAAATTAAATTAGTGGCTAGTGCGACAACACATCTACACACTAAGGTGTTCACAGCAACCCAAAGACCATTCCTTCCAAAATAAAGGTTAAAAGAGCCCATCCCTTAAGGACTGATAGCCCCGCCTTAATAACTGATGGCCCCTCCCTAAAGAGGAGACCCCAGAGCATTGCATTTTGTAAACATTCCCAGAACACATGCCTATAAGTACCTTATGTAGAGCTGTTGGTGAAGGTAGTTTTCTGATGAGGTTTCCTGACTGATGTTTGACTGTGAAATGTTTCTGTAGAGGACACAGAGCTGACGTCTGAACCGGGCTCACTGCATCACCTGCTGAGCCTGAACAGAGCCCTGGACCCGCGGGACACGGCGGAGGCACAGGAGAGCATCAAGTCACAACTCAACGCCATCCGGCAGAAGCTCATCCAGCAGGTGCAGCGCAAGGGACAGTTGAACACTCACATTCAGGAGATGCTTTGTCCAAAACAACTTACAATTAAAAAAACTAGAGCGCCCTCTGCTGTTTAAAACTACCCTAGAGTGCCCTCTGCTGTTAAACAATAGCCTAGATCACCATCAAAAACTAGCCTAGAGCCCCCTCTGCTGTTAAAAACTACCCTAGAGCGCCTTCTGCTGTTAAAAACAACCCTAGAGTGCCATTTGCTGTTAAACAATAGCATAGAACGCCATCAAAAACTAGCCTAGAGCCCCCTCTGCTGTTAAACAATAGCCTAGAACACTATCTGCTGTTAAAAACTACCCTAGAGTGCCCTCTGCTGTTAAACAATAGCCTAGAACGCCATCAAAAACTAGCCTAGAGCCCCCTCTGCTGTTAAAAACTACCGTAGAGCGCCCTCTGCTGTTAAAAACTACCCTAGAGTGCCCTCTGCTGTTAAACAATAGCCTAGAACGCCATCAAAAACTAGCCTAGAGCGCCCTCTGCTGTTAAAACGACCCTAGAGCACACTTCAGTCCATTATGGACTTCTCTAGTGATCTATCATCACAGATATGTCACAGACATGTTTCTCATGTTCAGCGCAGGCTGCTATAAGTACAGAAGTGTGTTGTGGTTAAGAGTACTCACCATTCATGTTCAGTTCTTAAGTGTGTGTTTTTGGGTCAATCATCATCCTGAATGTGTGTGTGTGTGTGTGTTTCTGCAGGGTCCGTGTCACACTGAGCTTCTCGCGTCTCTGGACGTCATCACAGAGTCTCAGCAGGCGTTGGGAGAGAAGTTCACCAGTTTCTACCTGCCCAACTGTGATAAACACGGCTTCTACAAGGCCAAACAGGTGTGTGTGTGTGTGTGTGTGTGTGTGTTTATCTGTGTGCCCCCCAGTGTTGGGGGAACGCATTACAGGTACTGTGAGTGTGTAATGCAGTGTCTGTTGTCCATGTGTTTGCAGTGTCTGTTGTCCATGTGTTTGCAGTGTTGTCCATGTGTGTAATGCACGTGTGTGTTGTGGGTGTGTTTGCAGTGTGTGTCGTCTCTGGTGGCTCAGGCTCCGCGCTGCTGGTGTGTGTCCTCCTGGAATGGCAAGAGACTCGCCGGCACTGCTGATGTGGAGGCAGATACACCGTGCCCACAGGAGCTCACACACTGAACACACACACATGCAACATGCTTATATATCCCTCACACACACACACACACACACACACACACACACACACACACACACACACACACACACACACACACACACACATATTTATTGTCGTCTACATGGCTCTTATTATATTTATGACCTGGTCTTGTTGTCAGAATGGGAGTGACTGGTGTGCTGACTCCACCTGGGGTCTTCAGATTCTCCTGGACGCTCCACAGTGTTTGTGTTGAACTATAGTCTCACTATAGCCAGTTTTGCACAGATAACTGTGCTGTGTTTATCTGTGAATGTTTCCTCTGTGTGTATATATGATGTGAAGTGCTTTATTTAATTCCTCTGTGTATTTAAAACAAACGTCTACCTCACGCTAGACCTCAACACAGTGATCCTCCTGAAGAGTGCTGCTCTATTTATTCTCTAACCAGTGTTCTGTTGGGTTAATGTGTGTATATATGTGGATTATACGGTGATTTAAATAAACTGTTGAAGACTGCAGTTGTTTTCACTCTCGTTGTTGATCTGAATAGACCCTAAACATGTGTTAAAGTGAAGCAGAGCAGTGCTGTAGAGCTGAAGTCAGAATCACTGGCTCTACTGTGACGTGTTCCTGCAGATGCTGGTCAAACGGACTCCTCTAATCTACACGCACTGATGTTTCCTGCAGGCGACGGCCGTGAAGCACAATAACTGAAGCTGAGGAGTTTAAAGAAGATAAGAGCTGTGGTGTCACACCCTTCAGCAGATCAGCCCTGTGCAGCTTTTACAGAGAACACACACACACACACACACACACACACACACAGGTGTTTGGCTTATTTCAGACGCTAATACTGTGACACTAATAATATGAATAATATCACTAATATAAGCTAGTAATGTCAATGATTAAATGTACATAACATTATAAAGGTCGCACACGCCTCACAGCAGGAAGGTCTCTGGTTTGAGTCTCGGCTGGGTCATTTGGTGTTTCTGTGTGGAGTTTGCATGTTCTCCCCGTGTTGGTGTGGGTTTCCTCCGGGTGCTCCGGTTTCCCCCACAGTCCAAACACATGCACTATAGGGGAACTGACCAACTACACTGGCCGTAATGTGTGTGTGTGTGTGTGTGTGTGTGTGTGTGTAAACGACGAGCAATAAACACCTTATCTGCTTTTCTCTTGTAAATGCGTCTCATTCACACACACACACACACACACACACACACACACACACACTCACACACACACACAGATAGACGTAACGACTCGTTCTGCTCCTCAATAAAGAGCCCTTAAAGTGCAGACAGTTTTAACACCATCATCTGATAACAGAGCCGGTTTGATCTGGCCTAACCGCAGCCCTAACCTCAACCCGAGTGAGGAGCATCTGTGGGCTGTCGATCACTGACTCGTATGTTAAGGTACTGATGATTATTGGCTGTGTTCTGCTCTGATGTGGACACTGAACTGCTTTTAGTGTTTCTACCCTGATCGCTCAGATCATACAACACTTATTAATAATATTAATGTTACTTACACTGTGTTAACACGGAGACACTCTTCAGTGTGTGTTCTTCTTCATCTGAAGCTGGATCAGGGTTTCCGCATCAGGGTTATGGTAAACCCTGTTGTAAACCTGTGACTGTTGACTTTCACAGAACCAACACAACACTGCAGCAGGCGATGGTGACCGCTGTCCAGCATTCCTCTAAATATCTGCTCGTCAGTGTTCAGCAGATCAGGTTATTTAGTGTACTTGATTAAACTCAGGTCAGGAGTGACGGCTGGCGATGAGTACATGATGAGGATTATCTGTTTACGGTGCTTCGTGAACAGTTCAGGTCTCTGCACTCGTGATTGTGGTGTAGTTTATATCTGAACCAGTTTATCTTACATAATATTAATATTATAGGGTGTATTATTCCACAACCCACCACAGTTTACTGTAGTAAAAGCTAACTATACTGCAGTGTTTATCACCGTGGGCTATAGTTAACACCACAGCTGGAGCGCTCAAACAGCTGATATCCTACACAGTGTCAGAGACTTTACTGTAGTTACTATAGTACTGTTACACCGCAGTGTTTACTGCAAATACCTATAGAGCTTACACACACACACACACACACACACACACACACACACACACACACACACACACACACACACACACACACACACACACTCAAGCAGATGAAGGTGTACAGAGGCAGGGATGATTAGTTAGTGCATGTAAACAATATATAAATGTAAATATATATTGTATAGTAGAAGTTATATTATTATATATTTATTAGGGCCGACAAAACAATCAGTCTGAAATTGTGTCTGAAATTAAAGTTTGTATTTATCTAATCACATATGAGGTATAAATACACATTTCTCACATGCGCGGGTGCTCCGGTTCCCCACAGTCCAAACACATGCGCTATAGGGGAACTGATCAACTACACTGGCCATAGTGTATGAGTGTGTGTATGGGTGTTTCCCAGTACTGTTGGCGGTTTATTCCGCTGTGGTGAACCCTGATAAATAAAGGGACTAAGTCGAAAAGACAAGGAATGCCCGTGCACGTGTGTAGTTCGAGCCTTTCCTTCATTTCCCGCCAGTTTCTAGCTCTTTCTCTCAGGTTTGCCGACTCGATCATCAAAGCAAAACAAAGCCCTTTGAAGAGACATTTCTTGCCGCCAGCGAAACTCCGCCGCAGTGACGTCACGTTCAAACAACCAATGAGGAGACGCGCTTCATTGGAGCGAAAAACAAGAGCTCAGAGGGACAGAAGAGGAGTGTGAAGGAGAAGATCAGCTGAAGACATGAGGGAAACACACACCGAGGAAAACTCCGAGCAGCAAACGGGTTCGACATCTTTATTCTCCATCTCTGAAAAACGCGGGCAGATTCCCGGGCTTTTAATGCGCGCGAAAATTTGTGATGGACAAAATGGTGCTCATTTATTAAAGTGTAGATGTGTGTGTTAGTGAAGAGTGTTTATGGTTTAAAGTACTGATTATGAAAGTCTTTTTGTTATTGAGGAATTCTGCCTAATAATAATACCAATAATTAACCTCACTGGCGGTGAAAACACTTTAGTTTACAATACTAAGATTTAATGTTATTGTAATTTAAAGTTTGCTTTATGTAAGTAGGTTAGGGAAACTTAATTTTAAAGTTTTTTTTTTATTGAGGTAAAGTTAGTTTTATTCCCATATTCATTCAATTAACAGCCTCTATCAGTTTAACGCTGATTTCAGTATTGTGTCTGAAATCACAGAGAGATAAAGTTGGTTTTATATTGGCACATTCGTTACTTTAACGGCCCGTACACTGTTTACCACACTAAGTTAAATACTGAAATTAAAGTCTGAAATAGCATGCAAGGATAACTTCAAGATAATATTAGCTCTATGCAATTGACTGTAAACAATGTTGTACTTTGATATTCATTAACTGCTAATATAATTTCCCCATTTAGAATTAGCAAAGAATACTTTTCTGAAATTATATTATTGAGCAGAAAGTCTGAATGTGCGAATATAAAACCAACTTTACCTCTATTGAAATCACATGTGAGTATGACTTTAGCACAGCATCAGCTCTTTTAAATTAACCCTGAATGTTGAACTCGGATAGTCATTGGCTGATTATATGATTCGCTATTTAGAATTTGCACATGATACTGTGCTGACATGATGTTATTAAGGGGCATGTCTGAATATAAAGCAGTTTTACCTCAGTGTTTTCTCTGAGTTGTTACACAAACCCTCCCTGCTATATTCTGAAGGGTTTTTGTTTATGAAAGTGTGTTCTGATATTGATTCTTTTTGGTCTTTAATAAAATAATAATACAGTAGGTATATGAGAACACAAGGGGAATATACTCTTCTCTCTTGAATGACTGACTCGTAATAAAGGGTCAGTTCACCCCTATAATGAGCATTTACTCTTTACTCATCCAAACCTCTATGAGTTTCTTTATTTTGTTAAACACTGAAGAAGGTATTTTTGTAGAATGTTGGAAAAACAAATACTATGGAGGCAATGGCTAGAACATTCTTCAAAATATCTACTTTTGTGTTCAACAGAAGAAACTCCTAAAGGTGTGAAATGAGAGTAAATGATGACAGGATTTTTATTTCTGGATCAATTATTATATTTACTGACATTTCAGAGTTCATGCTTAAATTAAAACACAAACTAATGTCAATAGCAGGACTTTTAAAACTCAATCCATTAGGCGATTGAAGCTTGTCTACGCTGTGAGTTAAGCTGACTGCACTGGCAGAAATTTGCTCATGTTTATATTATATTTTTTCTTATCCTATGATATAATTGGATGTTGATTTCGAGTAAAATGAATTGAAAATGAAGTGTATTTCCTAAAGCATTGTGCTCATTTACACTGAGAGAATATTCATTTAGATTCATTGAGTTCCCTTCAGTTTAATACTTAAATTTATGACAGATTAATCTTTAGTCATTAAACAGTGTAAACGTGTCATAAAGCAGACAGCAGTGAGACTGATATCATAACAGATTACAAACACACAACTGTGCTCGAATATTCACACATTTGAAGGAGGATTTCAGCTGAATGTGTGGATCTAATGGAGGATATTTAATGAACATCCCCTCATGCATATTCAATACCGCATTTAAGTGCTTTAGGTTATGTTTATTGAGTTGAGGAAACACTAAAAGTTAGAGAACAGATGTCTTTTTAATGCAATGTTTGATTTTAAAGCCAGGAAACAGTATGAATGTTTGTATGAAGGATCTGCGGGCTAACTGCACACAGCTCCAGCAGGGGGAGACACTGAGCTGCACAGCTTTATTCGTCCGTCTGTTGACTGTGATGTGGAGCTTCCTCTTCTGTTTTTTCTGTAATGTTGCCCTAAAAACCGAAATAAAATAGCTGTGAAAAACACGTACAGAATAAACCAAAACACATCTCACACATACCTTAGGAACATTAAACCAGAACATTTTGGTGGTTTTAAAACCTTGACTTTTCCAAATCGCGGTCTACCTTGTAAACAGTTATTGTCCCATACACATGTGCTGTTCTTCATCAGGAGATGTTAGTGATGTATACTAACTACTGGAGACACATTAGGCTGCTGATGCTGCTTCAAGAAACTCATGAACAATTCCAGATCAGTGAACACTGCATGATTAAGCTAGCCTCCTTTATTCAGGACATAATTAATAATTACTGCTTTCCTTTATTTGTGATCTATTACACACGTTTATGCTTTCATTTTTATAAAATCTGTTTAACAAATATTTTAGCACATCTGAAGTAATTAAATCACATCATGACGCACTGCTTGCAACATATTCCTTTATTATCCGATTCTTACTCTAAATATTTGATCCCAGAACTGATTTTCAATCCCCAACTCTGTGCATATTCACCGTGATCTACACCAGCACATATACTCCAGCTGATCCTCCAACTGGGAATCACTTTAACTCACAGGTGTCAAACTCAGTTCCTGGAGGGCCGCAGCTCTGCACTTTTACTCCAGCCCTAATCAAACACAGCTGATCCAAATAACCGAGCTGTTCAAAAGAGTCCTGAACACCTTCATTAGTGGATCAGCGGTGTTTGATCAGGGATAGAGCAAAACTGCAGATCTGCGGCCCTCCAGGAACTGAGTTTGACACCTGTATTTTCATTTCACCTGCCTTTACCTTCAACTTATTCTAACAAACCAATTCAATTCTTTCAGACCTGATGGAAGTGCCAGAGGAGACCAAAGACCTAAGCAAAGAGGAGAATGAAGAGCCGAGTGAAGAGGACAGCGAAGAATCCAGCGAAGAGGACAGCGAAGAGGACAGTGATGCAGTGCTGAGTGCAGAGCTGAGCGAAGAGGACAGCGAAGAGGACAGCGATGAAGAGCAGAATCAAACGTCTACCAGAAAGAAGGTGCTACAGAAGAGAGCTGGAGGCAGGAAGACGTGGAGCTGCCGTCAGTGTGGGAAGAGTCTGACCAGTTCAGGAAGCCTTCGAGATCACATGAGGATCCACACCGGAGAGACGCCGTTCTCCTGCAGATACTGCGGGAAAAGCTTCAAGACCAAAGCACCGCTGACCGAACACCTGAGGATCCACACGGGGGAGAAGCCCTTCCAGTGCAGCCTGTGCCAGAAGAGCTTCACACACAGATCCAGCCTGAGAGAGCACACGAGGATACACGCCGGCATAAAGGCCTACAGCTGCCAGGAGTGCGGGAAGAGCTTCACCCTCAGACAGTACTACACCACACACCTGAAGACGCACTACAAACACAAGCCGCTCCTCTGCTCGGTGTGCGGGAAAGGGTTTAACTCGCCGGTTCAGCTCAAAGCCCACGAGCCCGTGCACAGCGAACTGAAGCCGTACCACTGCAATCCCTGCGGGAGGAGCTTCAGACAGGTCTCCTGCCTCCAGAGACATCTCAAGTCCTTCATCCACAATAAATACAGGCCTCTGGAGAAGCTGACGGAGCAGATTCGCTCCTCAGGGTTAGGGTTTGAGCAGTTCATGATCCAAAGGGGCTTCGGAGGGTTTAAGACCACGACAAACCCCACTGCAGCAAACACTCCCTCACACACACCCCAGCCCTGAACTCCTGACTGCTGAGATGATGGAGGAGTTCACCAGGAGGACCGGTCATTCAGCTGCTGTGACGAGAGATGATCAGCTACACTTGTGCATGAATAAATGTGTGTGTGCTATCAGAACCAGCGTCTGGCTTTTATTTCTGCACCCAAAGCATTTCACTGTCTGAAATCAAACATGTTAGATGGTCCTGACAGAGTGTCAAGCAGTCCAGTCCTGTGCTGGGTCCTTTGATTCTGGGTCATCAGCAGTCACCATAACAGATGAACATGGCTGAGTTTGAAGACTAATAAGAGTAAACTAAATGCTTTGGTTATTCTGACATGTTACAGCTGACGTTTTAGACTAGTAATGTAGGGGTCAGTCGGTGTATGGGTTCTCAACTGTGTCCAAGCTCAGATCAGCTCATGGAGCAGAATCAGACTGATCCAGGAGCAAAAGCAGGAGGAGGTCACCTGAAGATCTCCTGCTGTCCTGACCTCTTCAGTCCTCATGAATGGATCTCCGGGCACTTCTCATGGTAAAGCGAGTGTGCACACAGCCCAGAGAGAGAGAGAGAGAGACAGACACATGCCCATCAGCACCGGCTGGAGAACGCCTGCACAGCAGTGTGGGATTGGCTGTAAAGGGGAATTTGACAATGTTCAGCTGCAGCTCATTTAATATTACAAAGTTAAATCCATCGACTCCCTGAAACCGTTCCCGGTGCCCAGAAGTCAGGAGATGTTATTTCCAGGAGTGAAGGGAAGGTTAGAGAGATGATGAGAGAGTGTGAGGGTAGATGGATTAAATAATGCAGTAGTTATTAAATATATATGTTTGAGTGTGTAACAGAAGAGCGTGCAGGCTTTAGGACATGCTTCTCCCTCATTAGCAGATCGATATGCTGCTTAGTTATGTTTCCTGTCAATCCTCCACATTTCTGCCATATTTACTGGGTTCATACACATTTTTACTACTAAAACTCCACGATTTTTCCAACACTTTCAGGTAAATATTCATGACCTAATGTTTCATGCAATGTCTACATGTGTGGTAAAAGAAAAACAAGGCATGTTCAAATGTAGTACAGCATATCTTAAACACGCAGCAATCTATTCAGTATGAGTTTATATTAATGTAAAATAGATTAGGATACTGCTGACACCGCACTAATAACGTGAGTATGTGATTGGCTAGGGACAGAAAATAAGTAAATACCCTATATTCGAGTACACAGATATCTGTTTTCCATGACTTTTCCAAAATGTTGTGGGTTTTTCCATTTTCCCTACTGAAACAAAACAGCTTAAACCAGGCTGGTTTTAGAGGGGTTTTGCCCACTTCCTGACTGGAAGATGACCATCTAAAACCAGCTCTGTCCAGCTTAAACCAGTCTGGTCAAGCTGGCCATTTTCCAGCCTGGAAATGACTAAAACCCCTCTAAAGCCAGGCTGGTCAACCAGCTAGAACCAGCTTAGGCTGGTTTAAGCTGTTTTTTCAGAAGGGTTTGCAGAGCTTTTCCAGGCCTGGAAAATGCCATGTGAAAATTGCCTGACTTTTCCAGGTTGTCCATGACCGTACGCATCTTGTATTGAATGTCCCACATTATTGGAGACGCAGCTGCCTTTCACGAGTCTGCCATGCAGAGGAATCTCCGTGTAATTATTCAGACGTTAATGTCCAAACATATCTTCATATAAGTTCAGTATTGTTGTTGCAGATGAAATATAACCCAGAAAGCGATTAAACGTGTTCCACTGGGCGAGATATTGATCAACAGTCATTCAAGCGACTTTACCAAAGCCTGGACGATTGGTGTCGTGCGTCCGCCATGTTTGTAGTTTGTTTACACTTTTCTCCCGCGTTTGTAGTTCTAATTAATTTTATGCACAGCTCAAGAAAAGATTAATGTATTGTCAATTGCACAAGGTTGTCATTAATGCTGTGATGTTATTAAAATACATTAAGTAGACTTCAGCATTCACTTAGTTGTTAAGTGTAAAATGCAGACGGTCGTAACCACTAGCGCCGTCAGTAGCAACAGGCTAGCACAGAAATTATACTGAAAATAGTAAAATAAAAATAACGCAGTGCTTGTTTGACCTGGGAGCCACTTTATATCGTCTCTAACACTTGAAGACTGCTGATTTTAAAGAAATCAGATTTTGGATGGCTGCTTCACTTTCCATTTTTACCAGAAAGAGTAAACCATGCGGGAACCTTTACTTCAATAGTTTGTATACTAATTCTATTTTCGAATACTGTTTAGGATGGTTAGTATGCTAATTGGGACGCAGCAACATATTATAACAAGCACTACACACACAAGAAGATTCAGACATTATGCTGACCCTGCTGAAAAATCCAGCTTAAACCAGCCTAGGCTGGTTGGCTGGTTTTAGCTGGTTGACCATGCTGGTTTTAGATGGGTTTTGGCCATTTCCAGGCTGGTTTCCAGCCATTTCCAGCCTGGTCTTAGCTGGTCAGGCTGGGAGATGACCAGCTAAAATCAGCTTGACCAGCCTAGCCAGGCTGAGAGCCCAGCCAAAACCAGCTATGTCCAGCTTAAACCAGGCTGGTCAAGCTGGTTTTAGCTGGATTAAGCTGGTCATTTTTCAGCCTGACCAGCTAAGACCAGGCTGTAAATGGCTGAAAACCAGCCTGGAAATGGCCAACACCCCTCTAAAACCAGGCTGGTCAACCAACTAAAACCAGCCAACCAGCCTAGGCTGGTTTAAGCTGGATTTTTCAGCAGGGGACTGTAAACAGCAGATATCCAGATTCCATGAAGAACACATGACATGTGCATGAGGGGAAGGGAACATCAGCACAGCACAGCACAGCAATGTCAACATATCAGCAGTATTGTATCATATTATCTGTACAGTCCACTAGAGGGCAGCAGATCTTCAGTCAGGATGTCTGCATGCAGTGGGTTAGTAACATCACAGTAACAGCAGCATTACAGTGTGCCGAGTGGCTGTCCACATGAGCTCTCAGGGAAATAAAGATTCATTTATTGGGACTTTAAAAGAATCGTCCAGCAATCGAACAGTCGACTCCAACTACAGCTACTGCTCTCCAGAACACAGTACAGCCCTTACTGATGAGCAGAGGAGCAACATCTACAGTTACAGCAGCACATCTAGTCTAGATCCAGTCATAAAGGCATCTCTCAACACAAAACAAAACCTTACAGACACACACACACACACACACACACACACACACACACACACACACAGAGAGAGAGAGAGAGAGAGTGATGATGAAGCTGGATTCTTTAAGACTCAACCACACGAACCAGACTTAATCAATCAGCCCTTCTGTGTGTCTCCAGGGTCACAGATCTGATGTCCAGCAGTGGGTCTCTGCAGAGTGTGTGTCGGCTGCAGACCCCTGAGTCTCTGCCTCCTGCAGGCGCTGATCTAAAGCATGTGAAGCGGCGACCCGTTCATCAGTCAGTCACTGCAGCACATCTACAATCAGCAGGCGGAGTCATGTGTGTCTACAGCCTATATCAGTGCAGACGTGTGCGTGTGTGTGCAGTAACACAGATGCTAATCCTCCATCAGCGACACACACTCCTTCTGATGCTGGTACAGCCGCAGGAACACACTGTACTTCCTCCTGTAGAAGCTGCAGACAGAAACACACACAGCCTTTACTCTGAGCACTGTGACGCCTGCTGACCCCTGACCTCTGACCTCTGACCCTTACCTCTGCAGCTCAGGGTTGGGTCGCACCACACGGCCGACTCTGCTCATCTTCCTCATGGCCTCCTGTAGAGACACAGAAGAGTGTTCATCAGCTCACTGTGTGTGAGTGTGTGTGTGATTGTGTGAGTGTGTGTGTGTGTGTGTGTGCGTGTTTTACCGGTATGGATGTGCAGTCAGATGAAGCACAGGCTCCAATCACAGCAGCTCCCAGCAGAACAGCCTCTCGCTCCGCCGGCAGCACCACAGGCAGCCCTGAACACACACACACACACACACACACACACACACACACACACACACACACACACACACACACACACACACACACACACACCGTTTCAAATCAGTGTCATAAGTGTGTGGTATGTAGTGAATGACAGTGTGTAGCTGTAGTGTGTGTGTGTGTGTGTGTGTGTGTGTGTGTGTGTACCTGTAGTGTTTGCGTGCGTCTGCACAAACAGTGTGTTCTTGCTCAGGCCTCCACACAGGAAGAGGGTTGTGATGTCATGTCCTGCTTCAGTCATGGCGGCTATGATGTGCCTGGAGCCCAGCTGCCGACAACACACACACACACACACACACACACACACACACACATAATCATCACAACACTGCAGAGAGAGAGAGAGTGTGTGTGTGTGTGTGTGTGTGTGTTCTTACAGCGAGGGCCTGTAGTGTTGCCAGATACAACAATGCGAGATCATCCAGCGTCTGGGATAGGCTGAGGCCCACCACCTGCACACACACACACACGCACACGCATGCACACACACACACACACGCACACGCATGCACACACACAAACACACGCACACACACACACACACACAAACACACGCATGCACACACACACGCACGCACACACACACGCACGCACACACACACACACAAACACACACACAATAACAAATGTATTTACTTTTGTTTTCCAGGAAATTTACAGGTGTGTGTGTGTGTGTGTTACCGTGCCGCGTGCCGTCTGGTCCGCTAGGGGTGAGCGGTTGCCGTGGAAATCCGGCCAGATGTGCAGGTGTGTGGTCAGCTGCTCCAGGTGTGTGGCATCTGTGCTCATCTGCTGCAGGTGCAGGTTCAGCTGTGTGTATATGTGTCTCCCACTGCGCGCACACACACACACATACATACACACACAGTATATCTGCAAATGCACACACTCACACATATACGCATACCCCCCCCAGACGAATGCTTGCAAACACATGCTCAGACACACAGACACGCACAAACACACAATCTCACACAAACACACATGCACACACACTCATTTTCTGTCACACACACACACACACGCACAAACACAGATACGTGAACGCACACACACTATTACAAACACACATGCGCACACACAAACACAGTCATTCTCACTCCCACACACACATTCACCATCACAAACACAGATATACACACACACACACACACACACACACACACACACACCTGTGCTCCGCCTGCTCCTCCAGCTGTCTGAACGCTGCGTGTCCCTTCACCACATGATCCAGCTGAGAGCAACACACACACAGCTCATTACTGCACACACACACACGTGAACACACACACACACACACACACACACTCACCAGTTTCCCCGTGGCGCTCTGTCCTCCCTCATTCAGCCACAGCCCCGGCAGCATCGCGGACAGATACGGACCCCAGACCCCGGGGACCAGCAGTGGCTCTCTGCTCACCTGATACACACATACACACACACACACACACAAATGCACGCACACACGCAAATGCACACACACACACACACACCATCACAGAGGATATAGACACACATACAAACACACACACACATACAGTGAATCTAAATGAACATGCACTGAATCATCACACACACACACACAGAGAGAGACTCACAGCCATGTGGCATGAGGACGTCCCGCAGATGAGGGCCATGCGGGCAGTGAGCGGCTGATGTTCACAGGGCAGATGGAGACCCGACACGTCTGCACCGAGCACACCTGAACACACACACACACACACACACACACACTGCAGCTGAGAGTCTGCGTGTGGCTGTTGATTTGTGTGTGTTCAGGTGTGTGTGTGTGTACCTATTCCTCCAGCATGGGCATCTATGAGTGAAGCCCCCACTGCTGTTCCCTCATTGAGGCCCAGATCTGCAGCCGCTGCCGCCGTCAGACCCCGACCCACTGCTGCCCCGGGACAACACACCTGACTGCCTGCACACACACACACACACACACACACACACACGCACACACACATAAACACATATACACAAACACACACACATATACTCACACACACACACACACACGCACACACACACACACACACACACACACACACACAAACACACACACACACACACACACACAGGGATTCCCCCACCTATTCTGGCATAGCTGTCCTCAATCAGGTCCTCCAGGCCAATGGCGCTCCAGAAAGTGTCGTCCCACCCTTCAGACGCCGAGTAAGTCCACTTACACACCAGCGTACACAGAGACCTGAGCTCACATGCAGACAGTGTGTAAGAGCTCATCCAGGACCATCAGCTCCTCTATCAACACACACACACACACACACACACGCACACGCACACGCACACACACACACACACACACACACACACACTGAATCTCCTTACCTGGATAAGGAGCCCGTGGCCTTCCAGGACAGAAAATCCGGCAGGTCGAAGAAGTGTGCGGCGCGCGTCCAGCAGGAGTCCGGCAGATTCTGCAGCACAACCAGCAGCGCGAGTGTGAGGA